TGAGGGGGAACCAGGGGGCACTGGGAGGGACTGGGAGGTTACTGGGCCATACTGGGGGTTACTGGGTGCTCACTGCAGGATCACTGGGCCATACTGGAGCAGTGGAAGGTCACTGGGAAACACTGGCTGGTCACTGAGAAGGTAATGGGGCCATACTGAGGGTCGCTGGGCTATACTGGGGGCACTGGGATCCCCTTACCCAGATGTGGTACATCTCCCCCCCTGGATTTGCGGGGGCACCCACAGGATCCCTCCCCTGGGGGCTGGGGGACCCCCTGAACCCCACTGCTGAGCTTTAGGGGACCCCCGCGCCCCGCTCCCTGTGGGGTCTCTGTCTGCTGAGTTTTGGGGGTCTCTGGGGTTCAGGGGGGGAATTGGGATCCCCTTTCCCAGGGGTCGGTCCGCTGACACAGAAACCCCATAAAATCCCCTCAAAAATCCACCTCTGGAGCCATCCAAACCTCTTTAAGGACCCCACAAATCCCCTCAGAGACCTCATCCCCCCCAGGACCCCCTAAACCCTCTCAGTGACCTGCAAAACCCACCTGGGACCCCCCAGACCCTTTCAGGGACCTCAAAAACCTCCTCAGGGACCTTCAAAAGCATCTGGGACTTCTGAAATCCCCCTAGAAACCCACAAAACTCCTTCAAAGACACGCCCCCCAAGCCCCTCAGGACCTCCCAATTCCCTCGGAGACTCCAAAACTCCCTCAGGGATTCCCAAACCCCTTCAGGGACCTTCAACCTCCTCCCTAAGTCCCCTCACGACACCAAACACCCTCAGAGACCCCCCCAAAACCTCCTCAGCCACCCCTAAAAGCCCCTAAGGGACCACAAAATCACACAACAGCAGAAGAGCTTTCTGTAAAGGAAGGGAGCAAAGAATCTGAGCAGGAGAAGAGCAAGGAAAAACTGAAGTAAAGCAATCAAATAATCCTGGCCCTTGCAGTTTTTCCTTCATCTTTTTCTCTTTTTTCGTTTTTTAGAGTTCTTTTTTTGGTTGGGTGCTTTTGAATTTTTTTTTCCGAAGGACTTTCTCAGGAATCGAATCGAACATCCGGGTTCTTGGGAGGCCTCCCGGGCCCCGCGGCCCCCGAGAGGGTTCCAAGGCCCTGCGCTCTGACCCTCGGGAACCCCCGAACCCCCCTGCGCTAAACCCTCCCGAGCCCTCCAGCCTTTCCATCCACAGCCGCGCTCCCCGCAGCCCCCGAGGGGATCCCCAGAGCCCCGCTTTCCCGCACCCTCCGCCAGGTCTCACAGACAAAAGCAGGCCGCGCCGCCATCACGAATTCCCAGCAGCCAACATGGCGCTCTGCGCGCGCACCGCGTTTAGCGAACACGGCCGCAGCCAATCAGCGCCTGGCCACGCCCCCGCACGCCCGCCGCCGCGCCTGCGCGCTGCGCGGAGCACTATGGGAGTTGTAGTCCTTATGGCGGATCATAGCGGCCCTTGGCTATGTGAGTGAGGATAATACGTTTTTTGGTTTTTTTTAGTTTTTCTCTCTTTTTTTTTTCTCTTTTCTCTTTCTTTTTTCTTTTTTTTTTTCTGCTTCCTTTTTTCCCTTTTTTTTCTTTCTTTTTTTTTTTGTTTCATTTTTCCTGTTTTTCTCTTTTTTTTTCATTCTCCTTTTTCTCTTTTTTCTTCCTTTTCTTCTTTTTATTTGCTTTTTTCTTTTTTTTTTTTACACTGTTTTCTATCAGTTGCATTTTTAAGGAAGATTTAAACACAGATCAAAACAATCTCCACCTACATATCTTATGACAACAGATAATCTGCCACTGTTCCAGGTTCGAGAGGATTCCCAAGATCACAAACACTGAGACACAAAGGGTGCTCACACAAAAAACAGCTTTCCCTGCTTTTTTCCACAGGTAAAGCAAGTGTGGAAGGGGCACTTGGCCCCAGGCAAGATGCTTTCACAGCCACTTGAAGCAGCCCAAAGTGGATCTGGCTGGCAAATGGGATTATGCCCATGCTTTCAAGGAGGATTTGCATAGTACATTGAGGGGAAATGGGGCCATTTCTTCATCTACTGAAGGGATGAGAAGAGGGGGGAGCAGGTGCTGTGGCCCCAGAGCTTCTCTCTGCTTTGGGGTCAGTTCTGTATTTTCCTCTGTCCATTGAATTCCCAAGAAAGAAGGAAAAGGCTACAGGAACTCCAGTCTGGAGTGGTCAGGACATGTGGAAGCAGGGGAATTTTTCTTCCCAGCTGGGACTGAGAGTGCAATTTCACACTCCTTTGGAGAGCATTAACTAAGACATCCCATTTCTGCCCAGGGATCTCCCAGGGGGAACTCAATCCGGGCTGTGGGCAGGTCCCTGCAGGGGCAGCAGCTTCCTCTGCACATTTGAGGGGAGAAAGCTGCTCTAACCCTGCACTCCAACTACTCCACAGCAATTTAGGACCTCTGAGGACAGTTCCCCACTGTTTCCACCCCAGCAGAGACCTGAACACGTCCTGTGTGCACTGTGTGACCACCCCTGGCATTAACACCCTGCAGGAATGAAGACACTGACTGTAAATACACTTGTCTACCTGTAAACCTCAACTTTCTTTGCTACTATACAGCAATAACATTTTCTATTCATATTGCAGCTCCAGACTTAATAAATAGAATTGCATATATTGTGCTTTAGAAATTAAAATGCATTCCAAAGTCAGGCAATGCTAAACAATGAAAGTCTTGAACCCTCCCCCCCAAACCAGCCCCACTTTCTGGTTTCAGAACCAGCCCACTTCCTCACTCTCTTCACAAAGGGAGAAACTCTCTCTTTCCACCTCTGAAACAAAAATTCCCTCCCCAAAAGTGATCAGAAAGAGTCTACTTAGGCACTACTGCAAATGGAAGTTGTCCAACAACCATTCCTTTAACTCAGGAAGGGGAGGAGGTGAAGAAAGTCACGACAAATGTTTGGATTCCTTCCTCTTTAATGTGTTCTCTTCCCTATCTGACGCTCTGGGACATGTGCAGGGGGGTCAGCATCTCTTCAGAGATGGCTCCTTTCACATCAGAGCCCCTCAAATTGGCTTCCTAGAGGTCACAACCTGAAAGGTCACAATTCAGAAGGGGAAAAGAAAAAGAAGTGTCAATGGAATGCACCCAGAACTCTGTTCAAAGCTTTACTTGAAGTCCATTTACCTGAACTCCATTGTACTCTGAAGCTGGAGAGGTCAGCCAAAAGCCAGCAATCCCCCAAATTACCAGCTGACTTCAGGATAGGAAGGAATAGGATGGAAAAGGAATCCCAACTCACTTCCAAATCAGTTCCTACCAACGTTGCTCCCCCGAGGTTACAGTTCTTTAGTTTAACGTTTCTCAGCGTTGCAACTCGGAGGTTAATTCCTGTCATCTGACTGCCCTCCATGGCCACTCCTTTCAGGTTGGCACCTGGAACACACACAGAAAGGAGTTCTGTGAGGAAAACCAGTCAGAAACACACTGGTGCTGCCTCAGAGCTGTGTGAATTGGAGGAGGACAAGGGGATTTCGGGCTGAGATGGTCACAGACTCAGTGCAGCCCTTGTGGGCCCTTCTCAGGATTCTACAAACCACAGCTGGACCTTTTCTGGGCCATAGAAATGTACAAGCACAGGCTTCAGTTGGCACAGATTCACAAGGCAAAACCTTCTTACCTTCCAGATGAGCTTTAAGGCCTGATGGGTCCTCAGAGTTGCAGCCTTTCAGGGACGCTCCCTCTGCGTTGGAGCGCAGCATCTTCACCCCTGGCAGGTTGGCACACTGGCACAGACAGGAGTCACTGAGAGCCGGAAGAACAACACCAAAGACAATCAAGAAGACACTTTTAATTTCTGCTTTGGCAGTCAATCCCATTAAATCATTACTGGGAGGAAGTGTAAAAGCTTTGGGAACCAGAACAACTCTAGAATCTATTTAAGAACTCGATGTTTTACACCGCTCTGTTTGTTCCAGCTCCTCTCTGTTAACACAAGCCCAGCCCTCCCAAGCTGCAGCAGCTCTTCCATCCAGCACAGAGCCTGACAGGTCAGCCCTCTCCAGGCTGGCCCAGCACAGGTTGGCACGGGCCAGGTTGCAGCGGCTCAGATTGGCCATCTTGAAGTTGATTTAACAAAGATCCAGGTGGGAAAGATCCACTCCACTGAAACTGAGACCCTGGAAATCCCGAGGAATAAACCCCCCAAAAAGGCCTCTACTGACAACAGTTTCTGGGAAATGGCATGGAGGCTATAGAATACACAGGTTTGGGTTACACCCATCCAGTGATGAATTGGTCCCAGCCGTTCCAACCAGGACACCCATTGATCCCCATTGTTTAATGGGTAGACCTGATGTCTCATCCCCATAGATTTTAACGGGTAGACCTGATAGTTCATTGATCCCAATTTAGTTTAATGGGTACACCTGATGTCCTATTTGCCCCATTGACTCCAATGGGTAGACCTGATGACTCATTTATCCCAATTGACTCCAATAGGTAGACCTGATGTCCCATTTGCCCCATTGACTCCAATGGGTAGACCTGATGACCTGGATTTTTGGGGTGCCTCTTTGTCAACTCCCCCAAAACATTGTGTGGACACACTGGGGGTTCACCAGAGCCCCCTCAAATGCCCCCTGGGGTCCCCCTGAGATATTGGGGTACCCTCTTTGCCCCTCCCAGAGCTGGAGCTGGTGCAGAACGCCGTCTTCACTGACCCCACCGACCAGAGTGCCTGGGTCTACCTGCGCTGCATCCTCTCCCGAGGTAATTTGGGGGGCACAGGGGGTCCCTTCAGACCTGAGTCCTTCACCTGGGTACCAGGGGACACCCCCTGAATGTCGGGGTCTCCCCCAAAAAGCCACCCCCCCGCCAAGGATCATCTGCATGTACGTCAACCGAGAGGACGCCACGTTGGTCGTCGTCTTCTCCCGCCCTGTTGTGGTGAGTCAGGATGCTTGGATTCCCCCCCCACCCCCAGAAAACTTCTGGGTCCCCCCCTCTGTACAT